GAGTGACTAAAATATATACAATATATGTGACTAAAATATATACAATCATTCATGGCTCACACACAGTACTATGTACTACTCAATAAATATAGTACAATTACACGTTGTACATTCTGGTAGCAGCAGGGAAAAGAGTCCAGACCAGAGTAGAATTTCTCTCTGGTTTCATTCATTGATAAAGCTGGGTGAGGGTAAACAGCAAAGCTTTATCCACTAATTTGACAGTCATGCATGACTTACGTTCATCTGGCTGGTTTCTCCCTCCTTTATTCTCCCCCCCGCCCAGATTAAGCCTCCGCTGACTGATTGACGCGGCTTACAGCTGAAGCCACACAGGTCGCAACCTGAGGAACAAATATAAAAAAAGTACACGGCAAACTAGGGAATTCAGACCCATCTGAGTCAGAGGAGATTTATCCCTGTTTTTAGCAACTGTGAGCGGAGAATGGAGTCAATTTTTCAGCTTTATTCCACATTCTGTGCTTCCCTTAAAGACATTTTTAAAGACATTTTTCCCTTAAAGACATTTTTAAAGACATTTTTTCCCTTAAAGACATTTTTTCCCTCCTCTAACCCTCTGAGTTAGAGGAGATTTATCCCTGTTTTTAGCAACTGTGAGCGGAGAATAGAGTCAATTTTCAGCTTTATTCCACATTCCTTAAAGACATTTTTTCCCTTAAAGACATTTTTAAAGACATTTTTTCCCTTAAAGACATTTTTTCCCTCCTCTAACCCTCTGAGTCAGAGGAGATTTATCTCTGTTTTTAGCAACTGTGAGCGGAGAAAAGAGTCAATTTTCAGCTTTATTCCACATTCCTTAAAGACATTTTTCCCTTAAAGACATCTCCTCTAACCCTCTGAGTTAGAGGAGATTTATCCCTGTTTTTAGCAACTGTGAGTGGAGAATAAAGTCCATTTTCAGCTTTATTCCACATTCTTTGCTTCCCTTAAAGACATTTTTTCCCTCCTCTAACCCTCTGAGTTAGAGGAGATTTATCCCTGTTTTTAGCAACTGTGAGCGGAGAATAAAGTCCATTTTCAGCTTTATTCCACATTCTGTGCTTCCCTTAAAGACATTTTTAAATACATTTTTTCCCTTAAAGACATCTCCTCTGACCCTCTGAGTTAGAGGAGATTTATCCCTGTTTTTAGCAACTGTGAGTGGAGAAAAGAGTCCATTTTCAGCTTTATTCCACATTCTGTGCTTCCCTTAAAGACATTTTTTCCCTTAAAGACATCTCCTCTAACCCTCTGAGTTAGAGGAGATTTATCACTGTTTTTAGCAACTGTGAGTGGAGAATGGAGTTCATTTTCAGCTTTATTCCACATTCTGTGCTTCCCTTAAAGACATTTTTAAAGACATTTTTTCCCTTAAAGACATCTCCTCTAACCCTCTGAGTCAGAGGAGATTTATCCCTGTTTTTAGCAACTGTGAGCAGAGAATTGAGTCAATTTTCAGCTTTATTCCACATTCTGTGCTTACCTTAAAGACATTTTTTCAATAATATCTTCTTCTCGGATAAATAAATTGAAGATAAAAACAAAAAACAATTCAATTTATGCAGATTCATACAAGTTTAGATATCTTAGACATTTAGATGTCAAGATTCGGTTTGATGGAGAAACTCTGAAAGGAAATGAGCTTTAAATTAATAATAATAATATCTTTATCTTGGATAAATAAATTGAAGATAAAAACAAAAAACAATTCAATTTATGCAGATTCTTACAAGTTTAGATATCTTAGACATTTAGATGTTAAGATTCGGTTTGATGGAGAAACTCAGAAAGGAAATAAGCTTTAAATTGAGCTTTTAATCTGCATTTAGTTCCCAACCAGAAGCTGTTTCATTATTAGTAATTCCCGTGTTTTTACTTGTGCATTATTTTTTTCAGTGTTTGCCTTTGAGCCCGTCCTCTATTCCTGGAACCAGACAATGTTCTCCAGGCACTTTCAGTCAAAAGTGTTTAATGGAACATTTATAAATGGGCCATGCCTGTCATCATAGGGATAAATATAAACATATAAACATATAAATATGTTTTCCTCTCCATTTAATCCATCCACTACTCATGTCATGGAAATCTTTTGCATGTTGTTTTCACCCCTTAAACTGATGTAAAATCTCAGTTTTCTTTGTTTTCTAAGTAGTCTTAACTGATTGTAACTTGATGTTACTTGTATGATCCTATTATCTTCGTTTTAAACAGAATTATGTCTTGATGACACAATCTTATTATGATATCCAGTCAGATAATCCTCAGAATGATGAATGAATCTGAAAAGCAACACGTTACTGACAGTAATTCCTCCTTACCTGGACAGTATCAGTTTACAGGAGCAGGAAATGGTTCATTAGTCAAGAATTGTTCTTTATTTGTAAAGATTTTGACCACGACTTATCAAAGTCTGATGTATGAGTTGTCACAGATAAAGTCATTTCTCATTTAATTTAACATGATTTGGCTATTGATAAAACAAGCTAACAAATAATACAGCTTTCTTAGAAATGAGTAAAGACATCGGAGTTATTAATCAAATATATATCAAATCTATCTATCTATCTATCTATCTATCTATCTATCTATCTATCTATCTAGATATATACATGTATCAGCATGTGTGTGGTTCCCCTTCTATATGTTCTCATGATGTTCTGAAACCCTCTAACCTGTCTTAGGTTTCCTTCTATATGTTCTCATGATGTTCTCATGATGTTCTCATGATGTTCTCATGATGTTCTGAAACCCTCTAATCTGTTTTCTTCTTTCTACCAGCACTCAAAGGTTCCCTGTCAGGCTACATCCTTCTATATGTTCTCATGATGTTCTTAACTCATTGACTGGCAGCCATTTTCAGAACAGAGTCCCATACTGCCAGAGTTTTTTGAGCATTTTGACTGATTTTTCTAGAGCCACAGAATAGTTTGTGCTATGATTATGTAAACACCGAACACACCAAAAGAAAGAGTAGACTCTCTTCTTTCATCAGGAAAAAAAATGTGTTTCTACCTTATTCCGTTCTTCCTGGACTTGCGTCTCACCGGCGACATGTTCTCTCATAGAACCGTTCCCTTTTTCTTATTTGCCTACAGTCTATGCTCATCTCCCATCAAAAGTGGCACTGCCCCCTAGAGGGTCAATTTGTTACTACATACTCTGTCTAGAAGCCCATATTTACGGACAAGCTTTAGCAGATCGTCCCCCAGACACTCTCGTTGAAAAACATTAAAGACCTCTATAGACGTCTTTGGCAGTCAACGAGTTAAACATTCTTATCTGTTTTAGGCGTTCTTCTTTATGTTCTCCTGATGTTCTAAAACCCTCTAACTGTTTTCTTCTTTCTACCAGCACTCAAAGGTTCCCTGTCAGGCTACACCCTTCTATATGTTTTCATGATGTTCTCCTGATGTTCTCCTGATGTTCTGAAACCCTCTAACCTGTTTTAGGTTTCCTTCTTTATGTTCTCATCATCTTCTGAAACCCTCAAATCTTTTTCTTTTCTTTCTATATGTTCTCATGATGTTCTCATGGTGTTGTAAAACCCTTAAATCTGTTTAAGGTTTTCTTCTACATGTTCTCATGATGTTCTCATGATGTTCTCATGATGTTCTTGTGACGTTCTGAAACCCTCTGACCTGTTTTAGATTTCCTTCTATATGTTCTCATGATGTTCTGAAACCCTTAAATCATTTTTTTTCTTTCTAAATGTTCTCATGATGTTGTCATGATCTTATGAAACCCTCCAATCTCCTTCAATATGTTCTCCTGATGTTCTGAATCCCTTTAGGTTTCCATGTATATGTTCTCCTGATGTTCTAAAACCCTCTAACTGTTTTCTTCTTTCTACCAGCACTCAAAGATTCCCTGTCAGGCTACACCCTTCTATATGTTCTCATGATGTTCTCATGATGTTCTCCTGATGTTCTCATGATGTTCTCCTGATGTTATAAAACCCTCTGACCTGTTTTAGGTTTCCTTCTATATGTTCTCATGATCTTCTGAAACCTTCTAACTGTTTTAGGTTTCCTTCTATATGTTCTCATGATGTTCTCCTGATGTTCTCATGATGTTCTCCTGATGTTATAAAACCCTCTGACCTGTTTTAGGTTTCCTTCTATATGTTCTTGACGTTCTGAAACCCTCCAACTGTTTTAGGTTTCCTTCTACATGTTCTCATGATGTTCTCATGGTGTTGTAAAACCCTTAAATCTGTTTAAGGTTTTCTTCTACATGTTTTCATGATGTTCTCATGATGTTCTCATCATGTTCTCCTGATGTTCTAAGACCCTCTGACCTGTTTTAGGGTTCCTTCTATATGTTCTCCTGATGTTCTCATGATGTTCTCCTGGCGTTCTAAGACCCTCTAACCTGTATTTTCTCTCTCCTAGCACTCACAGGTTCCCTGTCAGGCTGCATCCTTCTATATGTTCTTGACGTTCTGAAACCCTCCAACTGTTTTAGGGTTCCTTCTATATGTTCTCCTGATGTTCTCCTGATGTTCTCCTGATGTTCTAAGACCCTCTAACCCGTTTTATTTCTCTCTCCTAGAACTCACAGGTTCCCTGTCAGGCTACATCCTTCTATATGTTCTCATGATGTTCTTGTGATGTTCAGAAACCTTCTAACTGTTTTAGGTTTCCTTCTATATGTTCTCATGATGTTCTCCTGATGTTCTCCTGATGTTCTCCTGATGTTCTAAGACCCTCTAACCTGTTTTCTCTCTCTCCTAGCACTCACAGGTTCCCTGTCAGGCTGCATCCTTCTATATGTTCTTGACGTTCTGAAACCCTCCAACTGTTTTAGGGTTCCTTCTATATGTTCTCCTGATGTTCTCCTGATGTTCTCCTGATGTTTTATAACCCTCTAACTGTTTTCTTCTCTCTCCTAGCACTCACAGGTTCCCTGTCAGGCTGCATCATCTCGCCACTGAGTCTGCGTTAGTCGGTCGCCCACCGATCTGAGTCCCCGACCGACCGACCGACTGAGGAGGAGGAAACATGGCCAACAACTCTTTCCGCGGGTCCAAACACGGTCGCCATGGCGACGCCAACCACGACCCGGAGTTCAGCTGCTCCCTCCAGGAGCTGCGGTCGCTCATGGAGCTGCGGGGAACCGAGGCCATCGCCCGGATCCAGGAGAGTTACGGAGACGTGAACGGGCTCTGCGTCCGACTCAGAACCTCACCGGCACAAGGTTTGTTCTGTTTTAAAACTGTCAGGAATACAGCGGGGGGAATAAGTGTTTGACCCCCTTGCTGATTTTGCAGGTTTGCACGATTACAAAGAATGCTTATTTTTCCTCATCAGATGGTTATCAATTATTATAAATTCATATGATGTGATTTTCTGGAGTTTTCTTTGGGATTCTGTCTCTCACTGTTAGAATGTACATATGATTAAAGTTATAGATCGTTGCATTCTTTGTAAGTGGGCAAACCTGCTAAATCAGCAAGGGGTCAAATACTTATTTATCCCACTGTATATATAATTATGCGTGTGTCTAAATATGTATATATATATATATATATATATATATATATATATATATATATATAT